TAAATCAAACCCTTTAGATATACCTATCGTTTTCATTACAATGAAATAGATATATAAACAACCTTATCTCTTAGAAATTTTGGCGGAAGTCAAGTAAGTCCAGAACGTCTCATGTGTAATGTAGAAATTAATTACAACAACAATATGCAAGTATTGTAATAATCGGTAGACGTTTGCGTGTCACCCATCGATATGGATAATAGTTATCTTATCGAATACTTTCAAAATATTCCATGAATGAATGGGCACTTACGTCGACACTGTCTGATGCAATAAATATTTATTTTTCTTTTTGATTAAAAAAAGCAAAAAACAAAAAAAAACAAAAATTAATTTTTACAAATTTTACAAGAAAACCGAAACAAAAACGAATATATGTATACGAATACAAATATAGCCATATACATATACATACATGCAATATATAGTAAGTAGTCTACGATCAATCCAGCTAATTTAAAAAAAACCGGATTTTTCCAATATATAATATTATAATATTGAACTTTGCTTGCCTTTAAGCGATATACTCCCCATGTACAGAGAATTAAAAATAAACCATTAAATAGAATTATTTTGCCATAATGCATTATTGAGACATTAAATCTGACTGGCTACAATTCCTTATCTTTTTGTCGGGCACAATCAGCACAAACCGGCCACATGCGAACAGTCGCAACATCTTGAACGTTCGAGATAAGAAACTTGAAAGCATCGCTTTGGGTATATACTAGTATAGCTTGTTCCACAAAATACAAAGTACACAATTATGGAATTATTAAAGATTTTCAAAAAATCCGTGTAAACAAAAACGTACCCAAAATTTTATGTGCACGTACATAACATATGTATACTATGATTATTCGAGACCAAGTATTAGATAGACAGCGAATTTGAAATCTTGTCTAAAGCGGTTCGTTAGTGGGTCTGTGTGCACTTAGAATGAGGTCCCGATAAGAATACTAATAAGTACCGAATTGATAAGAGATGCTTCAGTCTTTTGCTTAAGCATATGCAAAATTCGTGGGTCAATTGCTTTTTTTTTTAGAATGGTATAATGCATAAACTACGACAATAGGAAAAAACAAGAAGCAAGGACTTTCGTCTATCGCATCGCATACTGCATGTGTTATCAAAACGAAGTTTTAATGAAAGATCCATGGCAACAGTACTCATGATTGGCTAGACGTATAAAGTCCAAAATGTAGTTTTATTATTATTATTTTTTTTTTAAAGACAAAAGCCAATGTTGTCTTCTAGTCTGGTTAAAAATAATTTAATATTTATTGTCATAATGCGCTATAATAAAATGTAAGCATGCTTGATTGGAGTGTTCAGTGGGAACATGCCAATAACACGTGATAATACGAGTATTAATGGATATTGAATTTATGGAAATGAATGGTGAGTCAGGAAGGAACAATAATTTTTAGTCTTGAATTGGGTAGAAATGAGCTATTCAATATATTCAATATTCAATATATACAATATTCAAGAAATTTTTATGGAATATTTATGTATTTATCGGAAAAACAAAATCTATGGAACAAGTCTATAATAGTATCTTGGTTTAATAAATTTTATTATAGAAAATATGCTATTATTATTTATATAATATAATATTATTATATACATTAAAATAAAAATACGTCATATTAATTATATGTTAAAAGAAAAAAGAGAGGGATTATAAACTTTAGACTCCTTACAATCTAAATTTAGTTTTGCTTCTTTTTATTTTTCAATAAAAAATATTATTAAGGAATAAGCTATGAATGGTCTACAACAAAAGAGCAAATTAACAGCACTAAAAATAAAAGAATATTAAAAAAAATTATTAATATTCGAATGTAAACCACCACCCCCTCCACATAATCCCCGTCCATCGGTGGCATATCCATGCTTTCTGGCTTAAATGAACCTAGACCTCTAGGAAATATATCGCACTTAATTTGTTTAGAAAATATCTGGAGAGTCTTAACCCAATATATAAAAACAATGAGAACAATCTTTTAATATATCAAAAGGTTAGTATCTAAAGGATAAATACAATTCTTTATTTTTAAATTTGGGTTTAAATATTTTAAAACTATCCTATTATATACTTCTCAGATATTTCACTAGATTCCGTAGTCCACCTCAGACATTTTACGTAATAATGTACTTTCTTCTGGGTTCATTCAAATACTAATATTGATACCTCTCCAGTTTCTGTGCTTTCTTATGGCGAAGTAAGTAATATTCTTACTCCATATTACTTTATATAGTACTCGTTCTATGGAGTATACTTTTAATACATGTTTGTTTCTACTTCTTTAATTATATAAATTCTAAGCATTCACACCATAATATAGATTTTCATCTCATTTTCGTATTGATTGTATTGATCTATAATACTTTGACTTGAAGTATTATAGAATTTATATTGCTTCCACTGAAATTCTCTCGCCATTCTTTGAAATATAGTTTCAATATATTAAAATTTTATCAGAGGTTTAAATCATTTCCAATTATTACAAAAAACAAAACCTTTTTTATAATCCTACCATTCTTAGCATAAGACCCAGTAGCCTGAACAAGGCTTGTGGGACTTTGGTGGGAAGGTTTTATGCTGATATGCTTTCTAAGAATAAAGTATCGAACAAAAAAGAAGAGCCGAAGATAGATGTAAAAAACCAAGCAGCGACAATTGGGAGATTTTAGAGTATAGTATTACGGATAAACAGAAATAAGGATAATGAAATAACTCCCTGTTTTATAGCTGTTAAATTATATTTAAAAGTGTGTGCTAAATATTTTTTTCTACTCAGAACATATTTTATTGTTTAAGCGTGTTCCATATATTATATGGTCGAACTTTAATGGAAGTAAGCCTTATCTCATTAGGCGTCTTTATTCTTCGCTACTTAAGTTTGGTGCTACACATATGTTATGGTCTAACGGCCACTAGAGTTGAGGCAAGCTATATATCACTAATAGGGTACTTGAGTAGTTCAACAACAATTATGTTTTATTGCAAAAAAAAGATTCGATATACAATTGTGATTATTTCAAATCAATGAATTAAAATTTGATAACACTGATACTAGATTAGTATTCCAAGAATTTAAATTGCACTTTAAAAAATCGGGGTCAAAAGTTCTACAGTTGACGTTGGTAGTAAACAAAATCTTATGATAAAAGTCGATATTACTGAGTGTAAGTTTATTATTATTTTTCTATCAAATAAAAAAAAAAAATTAAGGGCATTAAAAATTAATACCGTTTTTATATATTTTGTTGTTTTATTTTTTTTATTAATATTTTGGAATTTTTTCTTTATTAAAATATTGTAGTTTTTTTTTTGTGTGTTTGTACTAAAGTTGTTTGGGTTAATAAATTAATATTACCGACAATATCTCGTCTAGACGCATAATTATCACAATAAGTGTGATTCAGCGATTATAAAATCAAACTCGTGTTTCAAATCAAAACAAACAAATGAAACTGTTTTTTGTTGTTGTTGCCGGGCTTGCTCTTCAATTATGATGTCAAAAAACACCGATGGGGTCTAAAAATAGACTATCCAATAAAGTAAACGAACTTGGTAAACTTCGATAAAAGATGTTTATTTATTTACGTGATTATTGTCTTGTCGCTCGCTCGCACATGTTACTACTGATTAGGTGGGCACCTGAATTAAACTCAAGGATATATGTATATATATCTATTGTATTATAGGTTATGTTCTCTCTATTCTAATTTATGCATAATTAAGTAATTTAGAAGTCATTCATGTTCTTATAGATATAATTTTATGTATATCATGCAAAAAAACATTATTATCTATTGAATAAAAATATTTATTAAATATGATAATAAACGCAGGCTTTCCTCATGTTATAGTTTAGAACTATATAAAAAATTACGGAAAATTTTGACAAATCTTTGATACTTATAGTGCATCTGTCTACACTCTTTCCCTCAGCTACAAACATATATATGTAGGTATTAAGCTCAGGAGTATGTTTATTATGTTTTTTATAGTTTAAGTTGTCTCTATTGTAATATTTTAAATATTAAAAATTGATATGTATATCTGATAAAAGATACTTTATTATCTATTAAATCAATTTATTTACTTAAAAAATGATAGGTACTAAAGATAGGCTTAACTTATACCGTAGTTTTAAAATATAAGATAGCTTTATTTTTGATTATAAAGATTCTAAATTTTTCCACTAAATTTAACTTTACAATTCACCTTAACATTTTTTACAGATATAGATTCAATTATATAATCGAAACTCTTAAGTCGAATGTGCAAAACATATGGTCTTATCATATCTCTGCCAAGTCATTAAATCTTCACAAGATCCGTAAAAATATAAACACACAGGCCGAAACAAAAGTGTGACCTATAAGAGAGGGTGGTTGTTATGTTAATAACGAGGATAGTCTTATCATATCTCTGCCAAGTCATTAAATCTTCACAAGATCCATGAATATATAAACATACAGGCCGAAACATAAGTGAGACCTGTAAGAGAGATCTATTAACGACCATGTTAATGAATTGATGTGCTTGGGTAAAACATACTATGAATACCAAGCTATTGAATGACTTTAAAAGAGCGATGTCCATATCTTAAAAGAATACAAAAGTAAGCAGACGTACAACATCGAGCAGCATATATTCAAAGTTATGTAACACTTAGAGTCATGGACTCAAGTCTTTTGCATTGAGTTAAATTCAATTAATTTGAATTTACTAAATATTTAAAAAAAATAATATTACTAAGTATTGTTTATATGATAATAATAAATATTGGTTTGAATAAATATTAAATGTGCAATTTAATTAAGAATAATAAATTCCTTATTTTCCAGACTTACTAAATGTAATAGATAGTTGCTCATAAATAATAATAAGGAAACTTAAACTAATGCAAGAATTATATATATAGTCATATAAGCATATGAAGAGAGGGAGTGGGTAAGACCTTTGCTCCTTTTTTGCTAACAAGGGGGAAGAGTGAATTAAAAGGGATTAAAATTTTGCTAAAGCAGTACCCATGTTCAGTACGGATTTGACATCAGAGATATAAGCGCTAAGTATCAATTATTTTAATTTAACATAGCAATAACGTTTCTTCCAATAATTTATTGTGAAATATGTATAACGATCCAGCTTCCTAAAATCTATTTATTTAGTGTAAATCTTTTCAAAAGTTAATTATTGTTAATAAGGTGTATAATTCAGTACCATAGTCGAGTATTGGACTACGACTACCATAGATTCGACGTGAAGAATTTATGAAAGCCACTTTGCCCTGAGCCTTGGAAAAATTCGTAAATATACAAACTTTATTATTCCCTAGAATTTGCAGACATACTATTATCCGTTAGTGATTAGAGATCAAAAAAATATGTTTTTCATTCAATACTGCCTAATACATTAATAAATAAATAATGCAATTAATACTATCCATAATCTATATATTAGTGAAACTCACGTTCTCCAGTAACGACTACAGCACCAAAGTAAGAATAAGAAAAGAAAAAACGATAAAAATAAATAAAAGGGAAAAAATAAATGAAATAAAATTATATAAAAAACAATAGTTTTTAATTGTTAAATAATTTAATAGTTGTAGTTCAATGCGGTACCAACAGAGTATCGACCTCTTTACTCTAAATCTGGAATGTACTACTGTAATTCTGCCTAAAAGCTTTAAATATTTAGCAGTTTTAAAAATTTGCAGCTATTAAGTAATAGCATGCTTATAAATAGCTCTCTTGGTTCCTCCGTCTGGACCCAGGTTGATTTCAATTGCAATCTTAACTATCCGCAGTTCACTCCTTCTCCATGTTCCTCCCACCCCCCCTCTCTCAATCATCACCTATCCACATTCTAACTTATCTATTTGTAAACCTTACATATTATCTGCTTTCCTGCGGATTCCTGCGGGTTACACCAACAACAACATGTTCCTCTTGGTTACTTTATCGTGGTATGTATGTGTTCACAGACTTTAGAATATAATTTACTGAATCACTAATCACACCGATTTGTACCTAATCTACGATGAAATTATGTCATATAATTTATGATAGCGTAAATGATTATTTCCATGTTATTTAATCAAAAAGCCCATTAATATACAATTGTTTCGATCATTATATTCATCTTATCCAGTATTAAGATCACTATTTATTCTATCAAGATTATAATAAATATTATAAAAACAATTGTAAGAAAAATATTTATTCATAGACTACTAACATTATACATATGTATGTAATTACGTTGCTCTGTGATAACCTAAAGGTTAAATGCAGTTAAATGTAAAAGCTAAATAAAATTTTCTGGTTTTCAAGTATTTATGAAGTCTTCTATAATATTTATTTTATATATTTTCTACTAGAACATAAAAACATAATTAAGTATACCCCGTTCTTCGTGCAGAAAAACTATTATTCTTAAAGAAGACGAAAAGCATTAACATTTTACTCCACTACTAGGTTACGATGTCATTAGAGAAGCAGATTAAAATGCATGAAGGCTAGTATTAACTAATAGGTATATTATTAATGATTTAGTGTTTTTATCAGCAGTAGCGATTATTTTAAAATTTGCACATCATGCTGAAAAATATTTTTTTTCCAATAGTCATCATTACTTATTAAATTCAAGAACTGTAAATATATGACCGCATAGTTAATAATTTATGTTTTATTAGCGTCACAAATTGCAAAAAATTGTTTTCCAAAAAACAAATTGTTGTGAATTTAAAGAAAAATTATTAAATTATTTTTTATTAATAAAAAAAACAAAAATTATGTTATACATTGTGACCGAAAAGCTTTCGGAAATTCTCATTTAAAATTCGCGCGCTGTATATTTTTCGATATTTTAAGTTTATGTAGTTTGGCAGCCCTGTCCTTAATTACTATGCCAAAAATGAGCGCGATCTGTCAGACAGTTCGTTTACGGCAGCTGTTGAAACCAGTTCACCTCAGTAGTGCGTTGCGAAAAAAACAATGGAAAAAAATATTGAACAAAGAGTTTGCATCAAATTTTGTGTTTCGAACGAAATTTCGTGTGCAGAATCGTTGCGAATGCTACAAAAGGCTTATGGGGAATCAGTTTTATCGAAAACTCAAGTTTATGAGTGGTACAAAGCCTTTCAGGACGGTCGTACGACCGTCGAAGACATGCCGCGTTCTGGACGACCTTCGACCTCTACCACCGACGAAAACATTGAAAAGGCAAAGGAAATCGTGTTCAAAAATCCTCATGTGAGTGTTAGAGAGATAGCACGAGAGCTAGGCATCGGTCGTGAGATGGCTCGTTTGATTTTGGTGGAAAATTTGTGTATGCGACGTGTCAACGCCCGGCTTGTTCCGATTCACCTCAATTTGTTCAACATTATCAACGATTTTAAGGCCAAACATTCAATAAATACCATCGAACAGCCACCGTATTCACCTGATCTTGCACCGTGTGACTTTTTCCTGTTTCCCAACCTCAAATTACCACTCAGAGGAACGCGTTTTGAATCCATAGAAGACGTAAAACAGAATTCGCAGAGGGAACTCAAAGCCATACCGGAAAGCGCCTATAAAAAATGTTTGATGATTGGAAGAAACGTTGGCATTTGTGTATCGCTTCTAATGGAGCATATTTTGAAGGAGATAAAATAAATATTGATGAAGATTAAGAATTTTGCGTTTTATTTAAAATTTTCCGGAAACTT